TCTTTATTGGCATCAGTGGCTAGCGGACAAATTTGAACAAAACCAAACATGAGAAAGGACTGATTAAATTTTAAAAAAAAATCAACTCCCTGTACTTGCATAAGAATTTGGCTGTGATGAAAAGAAACTGATAATAAAAAATAACTTAAAATGTGCAAAAGAGAGAAGAGTTTCAGTTCAGTTACTCTGCTTAAATACTGTACAATATATTCTTCTCCCAGCACGTCAAGTAAAACATACTGCGATGATCATAATGTGCCTGCAACATAAAGAACGTTTCCAGTCCTGTACTCATTCAACCTGTAAACACAGGACAACATACTCAACCTGAAAACACTGATGTTAATTTTTAGTCATAAAATGGCCTCAAGATTTCAACATAGGTTGTAAAGAAAACAGAAATTAGCATGGAACAACAGGTAAATTAGCTTTGAATTTACCTGGAAAGAAAACACAACTGGAACACATCATACAAAACAGATTCTCAGATTTTACACAATGTTCACATTTATGCTTAAGACATAAAAAAAAACACTAAACAAACAAACAAAACTTTGACTAAACACATACTTCCAAGTTGTATGAACACACAGACATACTGCATGAAGCAAACAAAGAAATTAATAAAGTTTTAAAGTGATCAGTTGCCATCAGCTGCTGTAGCTACATAAAGGCAAAATATGTAGTCCAGCAGATATTAGGTGTAAATTTGTTTTTGGTTACTTGTGCACACAAATGAGTAATTCATGCTTTCTAATAAGCACCAGGAAGTATCTTCCCCAAACTGTTTCGTACAGTAATTAATACCAAATAATTACTGACTAATAAGCCTATCACAATCTTATTGTCTCCATCTTATTGAGTACATAACATAAATTCTAAACAGTAACTTCTTCCCAGAAAAGCTCAGGATGTTTTTCCACTTAATCTAGACCACTTCATTTAGAGATAAAACTGATGTAGATCCATGGCAACCGCCTGTGTCAGTGTGCCACATGTATTGCAAGTAGATACACAATGCACAGTGTAGCAAATGGTAATGAATGACATAAAGACAAGCTTCAGGTTGTGGGTTGATTTTCGGGTCTCAAATTTGTGAGAACTAGTCTGGTTCAGGTGGGTCAGCTCTCTGTTTTAGGCTTGTGCAGAACTCTAATCTGTGTGCACAAATAAAAAAAATAATAAAAAAAAAATTCCTGGCACCTGTCAGAGTCCATGGTACAGAAATAAAAATTATAACACAGCAACCAAATAAAAAACAAAACAAAAAAACAATGATCAAAAATACTGTACCAAAGGCTTTCCTACCTTTTCACTAGTTTTTTTTTTTTTTATGCAGCAGGCACAATCACTCACCAATAACTTAAACACTTCACTTGTGATATCACCTGACATGGCTGCAGGTTTCACCTTCAAAACAAAGTAAAAACAAAACAAATGTAATTCAGCTGACACATCAGTGCACTAACCCTGGCATATTTTAAACTACTGGGTTATTTAGTTTCAGTCTACAGTGTCCTACATGCTTCACAAACATGAATTACTGTCGGTCTGATCTCTGCTTTTCACAAAAATACATATTTCCGAATAAACCCGCAACTGGGGTTTTCACGGTCAGGTACTGATTACAGTGGCTTATTCACACAAAAATTCCCTTTTAAAAGTTGATGTTTTTATTGCTCAAAAAGATGAGAAAAGGAGAATGAGCCTCAGAGCAGACTTAAGAGCAAAGAATCAATCTGAAATTAAAGTGAGATCAGAAAAGAAAACAAGTCGCAGGATGAAGCAACAGCTGCATTTCCATCCTAAATATTACAAGTTGTTGAACTTTAAAGCTGCAATCTGTGAATTTGTTACAATGCCCAAAATTCCAACAAAAAGATTGCTGTCGACGTTTTGGAAACTCAAGTATCCACCGTTAGCTGGGAGTGGACACTGCAATAAAATCAGGGTGTGCAGCTTTAAGTGAAGGCAACGTTAATTTTTATTCCTTTTGCAAAAGGTTTTCATTTTGGATTAAAGATGCAACATATTCTGTTTGTAAAATTGTAAAATAAATTCAAATAGAAACAACAAAAATTAAAAATTATGTAATATGTTGGTTTCACGTTCAGTGTCAATTAAGTTTTGGACAAAAACTTTCCTTTCATTTCAATGTTCAAACAGCATAAACAAATATAAATACTACTAATAATCATAAGCACGTTTATTTTTCTGACATTTCAGTAAATCTTTTTTAAAATTGCCCTTAAAACCGGATGGAAACGCAGCTGTTGTAAAATGTAAGAAAACGTAAACAATAGTATTTCCAGACCTTTACACGTGAAAGCAGTGGGTTATAAAGGCCATCTAGGTTGCATAGAGATACTAAAAGCTAAAGCTGCTATCATGTTTGATAGATTCTGCATGAATAAAGCACAACAGGAAGTAGAATCACAGAGGAAGAGAGGAGGGAAAAGGCAACAATGAAAGATAAGTTACAGTATATTATTGCCCCTGTTATTTTACAGTTAGACCGATAGAGGGAGGAGAATGTGCTCAGACGATGTGACAGAGTCCTTTTTAAATTAAAGTCTGTTTACATTTTACATAAAGGAACATAATAAAATGAGTGAGTTAACAAACGTCTTTCATTCCACATCTAGAGGTTAAACTGTCTCGGTTTAAGGAAAACGAGAATGAGATGTGACAGAAGGATAGAGGAAGTATGGAGGGATTTCTATACATCAATCACAGCTATCATTTTATTATTATTAAATTCATTATTATTATTTGGTGAAACATCCAAATCTAATGGTTCCGGTTAAATCTCAAATAAGTCGAGAATCTGACTTAATACTTGAATATGACTGTAAAACATTTGTGTTTCTCTTCTTCACAGACAGCAGCTGTGGTCAGTTTGGATTTAGTCTGTTACAATGGATTTCAAGTTGTCATCCACAAAACAAAAAAAAACAAAACATCCACAGGAGATTATGGAACTACTGACAGCATAAACCACTTCCCGACTGTTGATCCATATTTTCCAAACACTCATATTTCCTCCAAAATATGATTAAATACACGGCTTCGGTTTAAGTTCTGTTGAGCTGATGTGGGTGATAAAATCTGAGCATGACTCTCAGTCTGTAAACAGTCTGTGAGAATGATGCTGCAGTTTGTAGTCTGACAGGGTGAAGTTGTAGAAAAAGAGGCGATGTTGCGGTTCTGGAATAATAACCACTAAATAATAATGTTCCTGGGGCTTTAAATAACAATTATTTTTATTATCGATTGATTTACTCGATAAATAGTTTAATTGCTTCGTCTCTAATGCCCATATTTACATTGAAAATGTATCCTCCTGTTCATACTGGCCATTAAAAGATGAATTCCTAATGCAAGTCACAGGGGACAAACTTAATGCAGACGAGCGCAGTCAAACCTCAAATGGAGAAAAACAAGGTAGAAAACTTGACATTTATGTTTGATTCATGTATTAATTTAAAGAAAGTTTGTGTCTCCTAATCGCTCCACACAGTTCTGATGTTTTCGTCTCCTCAGCGGACGTTTAAATCAAATGCTTCATGTACATTGTGATCAATTCACTAAGTTTCCACTGCACTTCCACTGCATGTCACATTGACAAGCACAAATTGAAAGTCTGTATAAACCTACCTAAAGTTTATTTGAAGTTAATATTGAGCTTCAGCAGGCAGAGTTGCAAAAATCAAGTGGATATCCTCCAAAGTCTTTTTTGTACAGAATTCCCTTTTTTCGTTGGTTCCCTAGCCAGTGTTTCCGTGCTGAGACGTGGCAGAGGGACACGTGACACAAAGAAGAAATTTTACACCAAAAACACTTTGGAATATACCTGCTTCATTTGACTGGGACTGCTGAAGCTTCGTTTAAACTTCAGATGAACTGTGGAATGTATTTTTGCACAGAGAGAGGACTGTGGATATTGTCTACCATCACTTCAGCTGAAATCATTTTACCGTCTTTTATTGGTCAGTATAAACGCAGCAAGCAAAACCGACTTCAATGTTTATATGAGCACATGATTATTGTTTTAAGACAGACTTGGAAAAAATATGAACCGGTGCTTTAATATTTGATTCCATTGTCATGACTGACATGAATCCAAGTTTTCGACAGCTGCTGCAAACATTTTACAGCCACTTCTCAAGGCTACATGAGTTACATGAGAAGGGCTGCAAATAACAGAATCTGATTATTTTCATTATAGATTAATCCGTTTTCTATCAAGTAATCATTTAGTTTGTAAACGAAGACAAAAAATTTATCACGTTCCCAGAGGCTGAGATGATGTTCGCCATTTGTTTATTCTGTTTGACCAACCAAAATCTTCACATTTGAGAAGCTGGAACCAGTGAATGTTTTGCCTTTTCGAAAAATGATTCATTGATTGCCAAAATTGATCATTAATTTTCTGTCCATTGACAAACTGTTTTGTCACTAAACACATGCTTGACTTTAAGGGCAGGTGGAAAACTTTGGCTTAGAATAAACCACCCAAATGTTTATTAGCTGTGATTTCACATGTTTAACTCCTAGAATAAGAAATGAGTGAAGATAGTGATGTGGTGACGGGATGAAGATGGCAAAGGACGACTTTGACATGTGAGATGTTCGACTACAAAATACAAGTAGTTCAGTCTGTAAAGCCTGGTGCAGCAGTTCCTCAGTGGGTTGTCTCCCTGCTCTTTACAGAGGGACTATGGGGGCGCAGCTCAGGTGTGTGTGTTAGCAGGTAAACACACAGAAACACAAACTTGGCGATGCATCAGATTCTCTGAGCTCGTCCTCCGGCCAAAACTGTCACAGAATTTGTCCTGGAAAAACACAAATCAGAAAAAACAGGCACTTTGTCCAGTGTCATGGCCTGGCAGCGCCCTAACTGTTACTGCTTTAGTGTGTGTGTGTGTGTGTGTGTGTGTGTGTGTGTGTGTGTGTGTGTGTGTGTGTGTGTGTGTGTGTGTGTGTGTCGCACGTGTGTCTCAGGTGTCTTGGTAGGGCAGGTGAAAACACCCGGGGCTATCGTCATCAGGTGACCAGAAGGAGGACGGCCTCTTGTGGTGGAGCTCTCGGCGAACGCAGCGAGGACATGGTTGAGCTTTCTGTCGACACTCGGCATGGAAAACGGCCCCGCAGCCGTCGCATCTGCAAACACACAACGGCATCACAACACAGGTCAGAGTGTCACAATTCCATACTACACCTGTGATACACCTGTGGTCATCAACTGGCTTTTGTTTAGATCTGATCAGTTCCAATTGTTTCTAGTCATAATGAACACACATTTTCAGTGTTTGACCTCCATATCTCAACCATTGTTTCGCAATTAAAACAGGGTAAGCCATTTGTTGTGAAGGAGTTGCAGCTTTCTGTATAATCCATAAAATGTTTTGTTTGCCACCAGAGCATGAGACTTCTCACAGAGGTAAGCGACACCTTTAAACACTAACTTTGGACACAATGCACCTCTGCCTAACCAGTAAGTTAAAGGGCAGGTTAAAGGATTAGTTCAACATTTTGAGAAATATGTGTATCTCCTTCTTGCTGAGGAAAATGACACCACTATCATGTACAGTATGTATGCCAAATATAAAGCTACTGCCAGCTGCTGGTTTGCTGATTAGCTTAGCACATTAGCCAAGAAATAGTATGGCACAATTAACACCTTGCAAAACCAAAATTTGTTTTTTACACCCTGCACGGATTATACAAAGGTGCTGGTTGGTGGATTTTGTTACCTTTTAAAGTGCCAGACTAGCTGTTTCCTCCTACTTCCAGTTTGTCTGCTAAGCTACGCTAACCAGTTTCATATTATTTACCAAACAAATATGCGAGATGCATCAATCTTGTCATTTAAGTCTTGGCAAGCATAAAGGCGTCTTCCTTAAATACTTTCAAATGTCAGCATATTTCACAACACTGTCCTGGTTCTTACAAAATTTACAAACCATCCAGAGCTCCCAAAGATCTGTTTTGACTTTGACAAAGTATCATCTACTTCAGCTTTTATTTACACTACTGTCTAAAAATTTGTACAAGCTACATGAGGGAGTTTGCAGAGCTTAGGGATGTTTAATTTATCAGCTCCAAGAAACAGCAGCCTCCTCCTAGTGATGAACAGGTTCCAACACTTTTGAAGGTTTGGCCATCACTCCTGTGAGTAGCAATAACATCGTACTCATCAAATTAACTGCTGTGATCTGGAAATGTGACAACATTGCTTAAAACTACTGTGACAAGCCAAGAAACACAGGCAGTCAGAAAGGTTGGTAACAAGCTAACAACTTAGTTTGAAGACAAAATGAGGGTGAACAGTCAAGTTATTGCTCAACTTTTGTGTTGAGATAATCTGTTGCTTTGTTTACAACCTGTTTAATCATCTGACTGCTTATGTTTCTTGGATCTGTCTTTGCCACAACACCACCGTGTTCCCAGATCCCAACAGGTAACCTGGTTGAGTGTAGGTAAGATAATCCTTTATTAGACCCACAGTGGGGACATTTGCAGTATTCCAGAATGGACAGTACAAAGACAGGAAAACAGAAAAATGTCAATATGAAATACAACAAAATATATTTTGACATTTTTATACCTTACTATACAATAACATTTTATGACAATTGACGCCATACTATACTGTGATGTTTTTTGACATTTTTATGCCTTGCTATACTATGACGTTTTTTATGAAATTTATGCAATACTATGCTATGACATTTTTTGAAAATTTTCTGCCTTACTATAATATGACATTTTTATGAAATGTAATGCCTTACTACACTATGATGTTTTTTGACGTTTTTATACCTTACTATACTATGACATTTTATGCCATACAATACTATGACGTTTCTTGACATTTTTATGCTATAGTATACTATGACGTTTTTAAGACTTTTCTTGCCATACTATACTATGACGTTTCTTGACATTTTTATGCCATAGTATACTATGATGTTTTTTTCTACATTTTATGCCATAGTATGATATGACGTTTTTATGACTTTTTTGGCCATACTATACTATTACGTTTTTTGACGTTTCAATGCCTTACTATACTATGACATTTTTATGAAATTTAATGCCTTACTATACTATTACGTTTTTATGCCTTGCTATACTATGACGTTTTTATGACAAATGATGCCTTACTATACTATGACATTTTTTGACATTTTATAACTTACTATACTATGACGTTTTTTGACATTTACACCATAATATACTATGACGTTTTTAAAACATTTTATGCCACACTATACTATTACGTTTTTTGATGTTTCAATGCCTTACTATACTATGATATTTTATGACTTTTTTTGCCATACTATACTATGACGTTTTTTTGACATTTTATACCATACTATACTATGAGGTTTCTTGACATTTTTATGCCATAGTATACTATGACCTTTTTATAACAAATGATGCCATATTATACTATGACGTTTTTATAACATTTCATGCCATACTATACTATGACGTTTTCATGACTTTTTTTTGCCATTCTATACTATGACGTTTTTTTGACAAATGATGCCGTACTATAATATTACGTTTTTTGACATTTTATGCCATAATATACTATGACATTTTTATGACATTTTATGCCACACTATACTATTACGTTTTTTGACGTTTCAATGCCTTACTATACTATGACATTTTTATGAAATTTAATGCCTTACTATACTATGACGTTTTTATGACTTTTTTTGCCTTACTATACTATGACGTTTTCATGACATTTCATGCCATACTATACTATGATGTTTTTTGACATTTTATGCCTTACTATACTATGACATTTTATGACTTTTTTTGCCATAATATACTATGACGTTTCTTGACATTTATATGCCATAGTATAATATGACGTTTTTATGACTTTTTTTGCCTTACTATACTATGATGTTTTTTGACATTTTTATGCCATAATATACTATGACGTTTTTATAACATTTAATGCCACACTTTACTATTACGTTTTTTGACGTTTCAATGCCTTACTATACTATGACATTTTTATGAAATTTAATGCCTTGCTATACTATGACGTTTCTTGACATTTTTATGCCATGGTATACTATTTTTTTTTTTTTTACATTTTATGCCATACTATGCTATGACATTTTATGACTTTTTTGCCATACTATACTATGACGTTTCTTGACATTTTTATGCCATACTATACTATGATGTTTTATGACTTTTTTTGCCATAGTATACTATAATGTTTTTTTTTTTACATTTTATGCCATAGTATAATATGACGTTTTTATGACCTTTTTTGCCTTACTATACTATGACTTTTTTATAACTTTTCATCCCTTATTATACTATGATTTTTTTTGACATTTTATGCCTTACTATACTATGACGTTTTTTGACATTTTTATGCCATAGTATACTACGATGATTTTTTCCACATTTTATGCCATAGTATAATATGACGTTTTTATGACTTTTTTTGCCTTACTATACTATGACGTTTTTTATGCCATAGTATACTATGACGTTTTTATGACTTTTTTTGCCTTACTATACTATGATGTTTTTTGACATTTTTATGCCATACTATACTATGACAGTTTTTGACATTTTTTTGCCATACTATACCATGACGTTTTATGACTTTTTTTGGCATAGTATACTATGGCGTTTTTATGACTTTTTTTGCCTTACTATACTATGATGTTTTTTGACATTTTTATGCCATACTATACTATGACAGTTTTTGACATTTTTTTGCCATACTATACCATGACGTTTTATGACTTTTTTTGGCATAGTATACTATGGCGTTTTTATGACTTTTTTTGCCTTACTATACTATGATGTTTTTTGACATTTTTATGCCATACTATACTATGACAGTTTTTGACATTTTTTTGCCATACTATACCATGACGTTTTATGACTTTTTTTGGCATAGTATACTATGGCGTTTTTATGACTTTTTTTGCCTTACTATACTATGATGTTTTTTGACATTTTTATGCCATACTATACTATGACAGTTTTTGACATTTTTTTGCCATACTATACCATGACGTTTTATGACTTTTTTTGGCATAGTATACTATGGCGTTTTTATGACTTTTTTTGCCTTACTATACTATGATGTTTTTTGACATTTTTATGCCATACTATACTATGACAGTTTTTGACATTTTTTTGCCATACTATACCATGACGTTTTATGACTTTTTTTGGCATAGTATACTATGGCGTTTTTATGACTTTTTTTGCCTTACTATACTATGATGTTTTTTGACATTTTTATGCCATACTATACTATGACAGTTTTTGACATTTTTTTGCCATACTATACCATGACGTTTTATGACTTTTTTTGGCATAGTATACTATGGCGTTTTTATGACTTTTTTTGCCTTACTATACTATGATGTTTTTTGACATTTTTATGCCATACTATACTATGACAGTTTTTGACATTTTTTTGCCATACTATACTATGACGTTTTATGACTTTTTTTGGCATAGTATACTATGACGTTTTTATGACTTTTTTTGCCTTATTATACTATGACGTTTTTATGACTTTTTTTGCCATACTATACCATGACGTTTTATGACTTTTTTTGCCATACTATACCATGACGTTTTATGACTTTTTTTGCCATACTATACCATGACGTTTTATGACTTTTTTTGCCATACTATACCATGACGTTTTATGACTTTTTTTGCCATACTATACCATGACGTTTTATGACTTTTTTTGCCATACTATACCATGACGTTTTATGACTTTTTTTGCCATACTATACCATGACGTTTTATGACTTTTTTTGCCATACTATACCATGACGTTTTATGACTTTTTTTGCCATACTATACCATGACGTTTTATGACTTTTTTTGCCATACTATACTATGACATTTTTTGACATTTTTTTGCCATACTATTCTATGACGTTTTATGACTTTTTTTGCCTTATTATACTATGACGTTTTTATGACAAATGATGCCATACTATACTATGACGTTTTTTTTGACATTTTATGCCATAGTATGACGTTTTTATGACAAATGATGCCATACTATACTATGACGTTTTTTTTGACATTTTATGCCATAGTATGACGTTTTTATGACAAATGATGCCATACTATACTAT